TGGTACAAGTACATGCATGTTCAAAGCATTGTTACAATGTTCACCATTCTCCTCAATCCTATTGTTTCATATGGTTTTTCCAAGTAGAATACAGGGTTCTCACCAGATTTTTTCACAGTGTAGGGGTCAGTGACGTACAGAAGGGCAACTTTCTGTGGCACAAGCCACACATTGAGTCCACAAAACATGCATGCAGTAGGGAATGTAGTGTTCTCCGAGAAAACTCATGAACCTGAGGCACTTTTCAATCAGAGAAGTTTGCACAAATAGCTACCGTTATCAATTATGGATGGAATAAACACTAGTTCATCTTAATTCAGGATGTTATATAATTTTTGTAGTTATGTTATCTATCTCGGTGGAACGAAACATGTTTCTATAATTGAATATAATAACAATAACTATGAGAAGGCACGCTCAACACATGTACGGTACGTATGGATTACTGAAGAACTTCTTAATCTGCTCATATTCATACAAAAACTGACAATGAAAATGCTGGCTTAAGGTTACAAGTATCAGTAGTTCTTGGGAAATAATGTGTGATCACATACAGTAGTCATAAGACAATAATTCACACCTGTGACAGTACTATAAACTGCATTTGTTTCCACAAAGTTTCATTGCCATTGTTTTCTCAAAGCTCAGTTCCTACCAGGAACTGAGCTTTGACTGTTTGAGAAGCTAGCCAGGACTTTGAGGTGGCCCAGTGTGGTCTGCTTTCTGGTATCCACAGTTCAGCTGTATGTTGACGTCTGGCACCTGTGACAGGAAGAGGGAAGAATGTCAAATCATGCACCAGCTTCAAGCTTCTTGTACTTAGAGTTAAACATAAACCTGGCATCAAAATCAACCTGAACAAACATAATTACTTAAGATACCAGTACTGTCAATTCTTGTGCAAAAAAAAAAAAAAACTTCCTGGCTTACAGTGACCCTGGCTGGTTTAAATACAAACTAGTCTAGTATGTTGACTCTGTTGCTCCTATGGTACAAGTACTATTGTAAGAAAACTAAGATATATAGGCTAGGCCTGTTTCATTGTATTTTTTCACTTGCCTACTTCAATGACTTACATGCAGACATACATACATGTTTTGAATATGAAAATCAAAGATTTCAGACAGTGGGGCTAATCATGAGTTTCAGTTTCTACAAATAAAACAGAGTAATAATAATATAATGCACATGTAATAATTCTGTCATGCAAGGAGATGATATATAGTGATCAAAAAACCTAGTAACTAATGATCACTTGATGGTCCATGAATTATGTTTACATCAATCAGCACAATAAGCAAATTGAAGAACAGTTACAAAAGTATGTCTGAATCTGATGCTTTTCCATGACCCGTGGTGAAGATTTTGCAAACACTGATGTGATAATTGTAAATGTGTAACAGTAGCCTTCATTTACTCCCCTCTCTCTGTATAGGAGTAAGGAAATTTAAGTGCAGCAATTTATCAGCATGATCTTCCTAGATACGCAACAAATAAAACCTTTGGCAGATACCACTACAGTCAAAATCAGGGTTGACCGTTAAATAA